GTAGCCCCAGCTGTCCTGGAACTCATTATGTAGACCAGGCTGGCTTTGAATTCACAGAGATCCACCAGCCTCTGCCTCTCGAGTGCTGGGATTAAAGTCGTGTGCCACCATGCCAGGCCCACGGTTCTTAAATATTATACATTATTATTAATATTGGTGGCGTTGTAGGGGATTAAACCCAAGGTCTCCACCACGGAGCTAGATCCCTAGTCTTTTCCCCCTCTCTTTCTCTCTTCTCATTCTTTTGTTTTTTTGAGACAGCATCTTACTATGTAGCCCAGGCTGGTCTTAAACCTACAATCCTCCTGCCTCAGTATCCTGAGTGCTTGGATTGCATGTGTACATCACTATGCCCGGCAGCAGTCCTGTCAGTTCTTATATGAAAAGTCCAGTGCTTTTTACCAGACACTGATGGCAGTCACTCTGGGTCCCTTGCCTTCCAATGCAGAGAGAAACCTTAACAAGACCTTGGAAGACTACAAGAACCCCACATGCCACATAAAAGAGTGACCACTCATTGAGGAGAGCAGGGAGGGTAATATGCTTTGGATGAGCTGGGAGTCAAAGGTGGTAGGAGCCCAGGGCTGGCAGACCCTATAATCACTTGGTGAACCTGGACAGCTCTGTTTCAGATCGCTCTGTGTCTTATAAATCTCTTTGTGGCATAGGGGGCATACATCTTAAGGCAGTCCAGCATACAAGCACCCAGTTTGCTCCCAAGGGAGGTAGCCTAGTGAGACCTTGACCACAAAATAAGTGTACTGATTCCCAATCCTGTCAGGCTGCATCTGTGACGAAGGGGAAAGAGAATGGAAAGGGAAATCTTCAGCCATTCGTGCAGTGACTGCTGTGGCCCAGGCACTGTGTTAGCCCCTAAGCTTCTCCTTAATCCTGAAACTCACAGGGGTTACATAGGTTGGAACCTTGAGGAGCTGGGTCTGGGCTCAGAGTCTGCACCTCTACCCCTGCCAGCCCTACCACTGCTGAGGCAAAGGCTTCCATCTGCTTGTCCAAACCTGGCACAGTGTGGGCAGCAGAGATTTCACCCTCTCTTTCTGGGTGATACTGCATCTAGTGAATACAGGGTTGATGGTGTCTAAGGACAGCAGATACCATTAAAAGGGAGGTAGTTTTCTCTGTGGCAGTGATTTCCAGGTGCCAGGCTGGCTTACTTGCTTTGCTGCTCTGGTTATAGCCAATTCCTCCATCATTTCACCAGCCTGGGTCATGCCCTGGGTGGAGTGCGAAGGCAGACTGAGCTGGGTTGAATGTTCTGTCTTGTCATCTATTAGCAGTATCACAATTTCCCACCATTTTGGGTGCAATTATCGAGGGTCTCAATTTCCTAAGATATCCCACCAGAAAAAGTAAAGGAATGGTCCCTGCAAACCCTCGACTACTGTCCCTGTGGAAGCAGGGCTGCTCTGATAGAGCACTTGGCTCCTCTCACTCTCCCTGTCCCCTGTCCCAGGAAGGTCCTCCTCTCTTTCTAGTTGCCTCAGCTTCCCTCCCAGTACTGGCTTCCCTCCAACCCGCCAGAACAAGTGCCACCAACCCCAGGGCACAGCACAAACAACTGGCTTTTGTCCCCCTCTAGCTGTCCTTTCATCTTGCTTTTTCATTCCCAACAAAGTAGCTGCCTCCCTTTTTTTGACTTCCCATTCATTCTCCAGCCCTCAAGCTTCTGCCCTATCTTTCTGTTGAATCAGCCAGCCACAGACAGCTCCAAGTGGGGAGGGCAATGTCCAACCTACAGGGACACTGGTCTTTGTGACCACACCCCTCCTTCCCTCTCCCTTGGTGACCATACTCTCCCTCTATCCTCAAGTCTCCTAGACATCTGGTCTTCTGGTGGTCTCTCCCCAGTTTGTTTGTTTCTTCAATGTTAGTTTCACCAGGGTCCCCTCTCCTTGTCCTCCCAGATCCTGAGTGACTTTATCTGTTCAGTGGATACCAGACCTGAGTTCAAATCCTACTCCTGCCACTCAGGCTCCTAATGCCAGCACTGTAATTCCAGTACCAGAAAGGCTCAGGCAGGAAGATCAAGTTTGAGGCTGGAAAGATGGCTTGCCACATGAACATGAGTCTGGATCCCTAGTACCCTTGTAAAAGCAGGGCACAGCAGGGCATACCTGTAACCCCAGTGCTGGGGAGGCAGAGACAGGGATTCCCGGGGGCTGCTGGTCAGCCAGTCAAGATGAATTGGCAAGTTCCAGATTCAGAGACTGTCTCAAAAAATAAGAAATGATAAAAAGGAAGAAAAAAAAATAAGGTGGAGCGAGACTGGAGAGACGGTCCAGGGATTAAGAGCACTGGCTGCTCCTACAGAAGACCCAGGTTCGGTTCCTAGCACCCACATAGTAACTACCATCTGTAACTCCAGTTTTAGTGTATCTGATGCCCTCTTCTGGTGTCTGCAGACATTGCATGCATGTGATGCTCTTGCACACATGCAGGCTAAACACTCATACACATAAAATTAAAATAAATTTAAAAATAAGGTGGAGGGGCTGGAGAGATGACTCAGTGGTTAAGGGCAGTTCCCAGTACCCACACGGTGGCTAATGACCATCCATAACTTCAGTTTCAGGGGATTCAGCATCATCTTCTGGCCTCTGCCGGCATTGTATTGCATGTGGTACACTTACATACATGCAGGCAAAATAGTCATACACATTAAAAAAATTAAACAAGGGACTGGAGAAATGTCTCAGCAGCTGGGATCACTGGTTGCTCTTCCAGAGGACTGAGGTTCAGTTCCTAGCATCCACATGGCAGCTGACAACTGTGGGTAATTCCAGTTCCAGGGGATCTGATGCCCTCTTCTGGCTTCTATGGGCATTGTACAACACAGGTGCACTTACATACATGCAGGCAAAACACTCATATACATCAAGTAAAAATAAATAACTCCCTGGAGCTGGAGAGATGGCTCAGTGGCAAACAGCACTGACTGTTCTTGCAGAGGACCAGAGTTTGAATCCCAGCACTCACATGGCAGCTAACAATTGTCCAAAACTCCAGTTCCACGGGATCTGCCGCCCTCTTCTGTCCTCCTCAGGCACTGCACAACACGGGTGTACTTACATATGTAGGAAAAACACTCAAACACATTAAAAAAAAAAATAAATAGGGGCTGGAGAGATGGCCCAGTGGTTAAGAACACTGGTTGTTTTTGCTAACAACTGTCCATAACTCCAGTTTCAGGGGATCTGACAGTCTCTTCTGTCCTCCGCGGGCATTGCATGACATGGGTACAACTTACCTACATGCAGGCAATACAGGCATACACATAAAATAAAAATAATAAAGCAGGGTGTGGTGGTGCACACCTTTGATCCCAGCACTTGGGAGGCAGAGGCAGTTGGATCTCTGTGAGTTCAAGGCCAGCCTGGTCTATATAGTGAGTTCCAGGACAGCTGGGGCTACAGGGAGACCCTGTCTCAAAAAGACCAAAAAAAAAAATTTTTTTTTTAAAAAGAACAGATGGAAGGAAGAGAGCAGTTGAGGAAGACACCTAACATTGACCTCTGGCCTCACCACATACATACAACATATATGCATGCCCAACTGAACACAAATACCTATAGATACCCACTCAACAGACAAAAAAAAAAAAAAATCCCTTTCCCTGGATGTCTCTGGCAATGCCAGCTTTTATACCTGAAGATCTGTGGCTGAGGGTTAGAGGAACTGGCACATATGCCAGGCACAGGAAGAGTGTAGTGTGTACTCTTGCTGCTGCCTACTGTTGTCACTTAAGCAGATGCTGCAGATTGGGGACCAATCTCATGCAGGGCTTTGTGCACTGATCCAGTCCCCACAAAACAGTCAGGCTGGTTTTTCTCAGACAGAAGTCTGGTCATGGCAGAAACTTCGCTTTACTGCTATTGGGACCAGGGCCAAGGTCTGGGCTGTAGTCTGGCTAGGCCATGTGAGGTCCACACCTGCCCCGCACTGTTACTTGGGAGCTCTGCAGCTGAGGAGCCCTCAGCCACAGGTATAATCTTCATTGCAGAAAATCCACTTGGGTTGCTCATCTCTCCAGCTGGCATGAGTCTGTTTCAAGTTCTGATGTTTTGGGTATTTTGTTGTTGTTTTGTCTTTAGCTGAGGCTAGTCTTAGATTCGATAGGCAGCTAAGAATGACTGTGAACTCCTGATCCTCCTGCTTCCACTTCCTGAGTGTTAGGAGTACAGGCAGCACCCACATGGTGGCTAACAACCACCCATAACTCCAGTTCCAGGGAATCTGACACCTTCTTCTGACCACTACAGTCATTGTAGGACACAGATGCACTTATACACATAAAAAAAGGCACAAGTTGAGTGGGTAGGGAGGAGGGTGTGGATTTGGGAGGAACTGGGCAAAGTGAGAATGCTCAAAATACACTGTATGAGATTCTCAGCTAATTAAAAAAAAGACAACAAAACCAAACAAAACGCACAAATCAGCGCTGGGGACGTAGCTCAACTGGTAGAGTGCCTGTCTAGCATGTGGAAGCCTGGGTTGGGTCTCCAGTGTCCCATAACCCGGGTCTGGTGGCCCACGCCTGTAATCCCAGTATTTGGAAGGTGGAAGCAGGAGGATCACAAGTTCAAGTCATTCTCAGCTATGTGGCGAGTTTGAGACCAGCCTGGGATACACCAGACTTTCAAAAAACGAAGCAAGAGAAAAAATTCAAACAAAATACAGATCTGGAAATGAAAAGAGGAAGTATGTTTTAGTTCTAGAGTCCCTCAGGTCCTGGCCGAGATAAGCGGACAGGCGGGGGTCTGGCCGGAGCCCCGGGGTAGGTTCGGGTCCCGCAGCAGGTGGAGAACAACGGCCCCGCGCCCGCTCCCTTCCGCTTCCTTCCACCCAATACCCACCAGGTCCAGTGCCCGCCCAGAGACTCCACCTAGCTGCGCGTCCGGGGCGTGTCAGGTGACGTCACGAAAGAAGGCGTCGCTCGGGTTGTGGGCGGAACCTCGAGACGAGGAGAGCCCGACGCTCCTCCCGACTGGAGGCGCCGAGCGGAAGTCCTTCCGTCTCTATGCTCTCTGCGCTTTCCCTCGGCTCCGCGACTGAGGTCGTGTCCCGGAAGTAAAGGGGCCATGTTGATGGGTGACCCCGAGAGAGGTACTGGGCGAGGCGAGACCTGAGGAGTGGTAGCACGCGGTCCGCGGGTGAGTGAGGGAGGGCGTGAGGGCAGCCCGGGATCGCCCGCTTCCGCTCGGACCGGGCCCGGCTACCTGCCCTGCGGGGGCCTCCGAGTCCCGCCCCGCCCCAGCCCCCCGTTTCTCCCGGCTCAGGCTGGTCCGGCCGGGTCCCGGGGTCTCCGCCCCGGCCGGTCACTGTGCGACCTTGCCGTTGCAGCCCTTGCGTGACGCTCGCCTTCTAGCTCATCCAGCGGCTCCGTGGTTCTGCATCACCGAAGACCCTTAGGGCCAAGCGGAGCCCCTCTGATGTGGGAAACCGGGACAGGGACGGGAGCTCTGCCCTGGCTCCCGAAGAGTTTAGCTAGGTCGGAAGCTGTGGCTCCTGACTTGGGCCCCCCTTTTTTTTTTGGTCTTCTTGAGACAGGATCTCCCTGTAGCCCCAGCTGTAGACCGGGTTGGCCTCGAACTCAGAGATCCGCCTGCCTTTGCCTCCTAAACGGTAGGGCTGAAGGCGTGCACAACCACGCCCGGCTTCAGATCCTTTTTTTTTTTTTCCCCCCCAGCCAATTTCTCTCCCACCCCTCAGACACATTTAGGTTTATACAAAGGGACGTTGGAAGGATTATTCCTTCTTTCACTGAACATAGTTTTGAGCCTAGTAGGTGCCGGGCACTGTGCTGGGAAAGTTTGTTGAGCATCTACAAGTGCTGCACACGTGTAAGACCCTACACAGATTCCCGGGCTGGCTGAATTGGGGTCGGGAGTGCCATCTTCCCCTTAACTGCTGTGGCCAGTGGGCAAGTGATTTCTGGGAATATCACTTTCCTCCAGTTAAAATGGGGATAATGGTGACACCGGGATTGTTGCTAGATGTGGAGTGTGCAGTGCTTAGTGCTTGCCTGGTGTGGGGTAACTGCACAGTGAGGAATCACTGATACTGTGGACCCTGATCTTTGGCTCATAGTTTCAATGTAGTTAATGGTGACAAAGCACTTTACAGATGATTACCTTGGGGCTTGTGTCTGTTCCTGAAGGAGGATGGTGGCAATTCATGTGTCACCCAGTGCAATGCTTATTGATGGCTATCACTGTGCCAAATACTGTTCTAAACATCTTCATCTACAGGAATTCATTTAATACTTAGACCAGATGTTTGGATAAAATACAATCTATCCTCATTTTACAGATAAGGAACTGAGGCAGGCACAGGGAGGCTAAGAGAGCTGCCCCGAAGCTCATAGATTGTGGTGCCAGGATGCAGATACGGCTGAGGCCTTGTCTGCAGCCACTCTAGGTCACACTTTATGGTAGAGTTCCATTACAGGTGCTTTACAGGAGTGGTTCTTAAAATAACTTTATGTGGTAGGTACTGTTCCCATAATGCCATTGTAATCTCTGATTTGGAAGCGAGGGAGCTGATGCTTAGCAGGATTAAGTACTGTATATAAAGTCCCATGGTGACTAGTTCGCGCAGCCAGGACTCAAGCCCATGCTGTCTACTTCCCAAGGCCTGGTGAGCCCCAGGCTGAACTCCTTTCCCCCTTCCCAGGGGCTAAGGGAGGGGTCTGCTCTTGGCTTACAGGGAGTCTTGAATCTGGGAGTAAAAACTCCAGAGCTGTCCTGGAGAGATGGTGCAGTGGTTAAGAGCACTGGCTGCTCTTTTCTGTTCCCAGCACCCACATGGCAGCTAACAACTATCTGTACCTCCAGTTCCAGGGAATCTGATGCTCTCATCTGTCCTTTGCATGCATTGCACACACACATGGGTGCACTTACATGCAGGTAAAATGCATATACACGTAAAATAAAAATAAAAAGAACCCCTGAACCACAGTGTCTAGAGACTCTGCTGTCATTAATTCTGATTCTTGGCTTCTGTGTGTTCCCTTCTGTTTAGAGTGTGACACCCAGCTCTTGTCAGTCCCCCATGGCCCCGTGGAGCCGAGAGGCGGTGCTGAGTCTCTACCGGGCTCTGCTGCGCCAGGGCCGAGAGCTTCGCTACACTGATCGAGACTTCTACTTTGCTTCCATTCGCCGGGAGTTCCGGAAAAATCAGAAGCTCGAGGATATAGAAGCCCGGGAGAAGCAGCTGGAAAAGGGCCTGGTCTTCCTCCATAGCAAACTAGGGGGACTTATTTAGATCCTCTTTTCCCCTCCTACCCTAATTTTAAGAGGACAAAGGTGCCTTCTGCAGATACTCCTGTGCTCTCCCACCCCACCCCACAGATGCATTAGGAAGCCTCAGGTAGGTAGCCCTTGTTCTTGGAGCTTGCTTTTTTTTTTGTTTAAATAGTTGAATGTTTGTTTAGAAGACAACATAAGAGGTGAGATCACTCCAGTGTTCTTGTAAAGGAGTTCAATCAGGAGACTTTTTTTTTGGTCTTATTGAGACAGGGTCTCCCTGTAGCCCCAGCTGTCCTGGAACTCACTATGTAGACCAGGCTGGCCTTGAACTCACAGAGATGCCTGCTTCTGCCTCCCAAGTGCTGGGATTAAAGGCGTGCACCACTATGCCCAGCTCGATTTTTATAATTAAAAAATTACGTGTATGAGTGTATAGTCTGCATGTATGTAAGTGCCCATTTCATGCAGTGCCCGTGGAGGTCATAAGAAGGCGTCAGATCCCCTGGAACTGGACAGCTGCTATGTGGGTACTGGGAACCGAACCCATGTCCTCTGCAAGAACAGCCAGTGCCCTTAACCACTGATCCATCTCTCTAGCCCTGAGCTTTCTTTTTTTTTCCTGGTGCCAAAAACTAGGAAAGGGAAGACCTTTCCTTCATGATCAGTCTGTCCTTTAGTCCTTAGAACTCTGTGAATAAAATACTGATGTGTTAATAAACTACAGACATGTTAATAGAACTGAGTCTTCCTGTTGAGAAAAACGGGCCCTGGATTTCTAGCTTCACCAGAACAGCATTACCATAATTTTATTTAGTGGAATATTTTATATTTGAAAATGTTAGAAGAGATACTGGTTAAAGATACTGGTTAGAGTTGGGTTCCAACCCAACTTGTCCTATCAGTTATACTGTATCACATCATGTCTTCTGAAACATAAGTGTATTGTTACAGCATAATTTGTAAAGCAAGCATAATGTTCAGTACCTGAGTTCAAAGCTTGACACTGCTAACTAGTACCTGTGGGATTTAGGGTAAGTCTGTAAACATTTCCAGGTGTTCATTATATCATCTGTGAAATGGAAATAACATACTTACCTCTTTAGGTTACAGTGAGAACTGACCTAGACAGTATATAATCAGCATTGAGGATGGCACTTGTAGGTGGTATGCTAGCCCTATTTTTTTTAAATTTTTTTATTTTTTGTCTTTTTGAGACAGTATTTCCTTGTAGCCCCAGCTGTCCTGGAACTCACTATGTAGACCAGGCTGGCCTTGAACTCACAGAGATCTACCTGCCTCTGCCTCCCAAGTGCTGGGATTAAAGGTGTGTGCCACCACGCCCGGCTTTTTAAAAAAATTTTTAAATTGCATTTATTTAGTGTGGGTATCAGTGCATGTGTGCCATGGTGTACATGTGGCAGTCAGAAGACTTGAGGGAGTCAGTACTCTGCTTTTATCATGGGGAATGGACATCATGAGGGTTGGTGGCAGTATCTACCCACTGAGCCATCTCACTGGCTCTTGGTCTATTTACTCTTGAGCCCATTGCCGTCAAGGAGTTCTACCACAACATAATAGTGGTCTTTAATTAGCAGCCTTTCAGAGGCCCTTGTATGGCCCTGGCATTCTGGTAGGCTTTGGGGATAGAGACTCAGACTGAGGAGATCAGTGCTAAGCCAGAGTGTTGCGTGAAAAAAACTACGGAGACAGGAATGAAGCTGGCTCTGTCTTGGGTTGGGTGGTAGGAAGGGATCATGGTAGTTAGAGAAGTTGAAGCTGGCTGGGCAGTAGGGCAAGAGTAAACTATGTGTGGAGGTGGAAACTGCACACTGTAGCCTGGAAACTTGAGTCTGCTGAGGCTAGAATGATACAGTTATGAGGAAAGGGGCTGGAGTTGAAGCTGTGCCAGGTGTGGAGGGGCCCTGTTACAGAGACTAGTAGCTAACTATGGGGGACCGTTACAAGCTTTCTAAGAAGGGAAAGACAGGGTCACATTTGTGTCTTGGAGTGTGCCAAGACAGTGTGGAGAAAATTGGTGAGAAATAATAGAAGCAGGGAATCTGGGCAGGTAGATAGAGGACCGAGATGGTGGTCACAGTACAACATGGACAGCAGTAGAACTTGGTGGCCAGTTGGTTGAGGGAGAAGAAAAGAGGGGCTGAAGGGTAGCTGCATAAAGCTGGGCATGGTGGTGCATGCCTGGAATCCCAGTATCCTACCTACCCAGAAAACTGAGGCAGGAGGATCATTAGTTTGAGGCCAGCCTGGGCAACATAGAGACTGTCTCAGAACAAGAAAGAGAAAAAAAAAGACTAAGTGTGATGTGATAGCCTTGCAAGTTGGGTAGAGTGTTCTGTCTGTACCAGAATGGAAGGCAGGAACCTTATATAACAGCTTTCTGCTCTCCTTGGCCACTTAACACTGAATGATAGACCTGCATTTGGCAGTGCAGGGCCAGAACAGGGTAATGACCATGAGAGCCTGCTGCACAGGGAGGTAGTGGGCTGAAGTAGTGAGTTATTGAGATGTATTTTTAATGTTTTGACTGTGAGTTGTATTAAACTTTGTCATCAAGGGAAAAATGAAAAGCTGAGAATGGTGGTACACACTTAACCTGCATTCAGGAAGAACCCAAGTTCACAGTCAGCCTGGGTGGCATAGTGAATTTCAGTCAGCCAGCCTGGGCTATACAGCAGACTCTTATCTGAAGAAAACAGAAACAAAAACAAGAGAACGATAAAAAAAATGCAAGTGAACACCATAATTAGTTCATTTATGTGGGAGATCCTTAATATACCAAATGGTGGGTCTTTGGGGCATAGCAGTGAGTGTACCAGAATGCTCCCGTGAAGCTTTGGCTTAGCTTAGAAGATGAGAAGAAAGTGGGGTTGCAAGCTGTATAGGAATCTTGTGGATTGGTTCTTCACAGCAATATAAACTCTGGGTTCAAACCCTGGCTGCACAACTTACTGATACAGTAAGTTATGCTGGGCTGGTTATTTTACATCTGCCTCAGTTTCTTTATGTTTATATTGGCGATGACAACCAGGTGTAGTGGCACATGCCTGTACCCAAGTGCTTGGAAGGTGGAGGCAGAAGGATCAGGAGTTCAAGGCTAGCCTTGGCTACATAGGGAGTATGAGGCCAGCCTGGTTACAGTTCTAAGGAGGGACTCATGGCTGACACCCCTATAACAAATGACGTTACCTATACAGGAAACTTAGAATGAAGGCCTGAAGACCCAGGTGAGTGACCATTTTTATGCCTAGGTTCAGTAACTGGACAGCTGTGTAGAAATCTGGAGAAGAGTTAAAATTAAAAAAAAAATTTTTTTTTGGTTGTTTTTGAAACAGGGTCTCCCTGTAGCCCCACCTGGCCTGATAGCTCACAGTTCTACCTGCTTCTGCCTCTCTAGGGCTGGGAGTAAAGGTGTGTACCACCATGCCCCACTTAAAGGTATTTTTTTTTTTTTTTTTAGTGTCAATACTGGAGTTTGAACCCAGGGCTTTGGGAATGATCAGCAAGTGTTCTACCACTGAGCTACATCTCTGGCCTGAAGTGTAATGTTTCCGGTTTGGCTTTGGGAAAAATGGGATTTGAGTTCTGTGACTCACCTTGGGAAAGAAGTCTAGTTTATTTTTATATTTTACATTATTTAGTTTGTCTGTGTCTGGAGGCCAGAGAACAGCTTCGTAGAGTCAGTTCTTTCTTTCTACCTTTAAAAAAATATATCTTAGCTGGGCATGGTGGCACACACCTTAATCCCAGCACTTGGAAGGCAGAGGCAGGTGGATCTCTGTGAGTTCAAGGCCAGCCTCCTCTACATAGTGAATTACAGAGCAGCTGAGGCTACAGGGAGACCCTGTTTCAAAAAAGACCAAAAACAAAACAACAAAAATTTTTATTTATTACTTTTATGTGTATGAATGTTTTGCCTGCATGTAAGTGCACCACATGCATGCAATGCCCTGCAGAGGCCAGAAGAGGGTGTTGGATGCCCTGGAACTGGAGTTACAGATGGTTGTTAGCTGCCATGTGGGTGCTGGGTCCTCTGCAAGAGCAGCCAGTGCTTTTAACCACTGAGCTGTCCCTCCAGTCCCTCCTACCTTTTACCATTTGCTGAGCCATGTCACTGACTTGAGGTCTAGTTTATACATCTTGCCTCTGAAGAGAGGAGGGTGGGACCTGTTGGAAACTGCTTGAGACCTCTGCTCTGGGGTCTTGCTTCCTAAGACCCACTATAGGTTAGTTATTCTCACATTTGCTCAAGTAGACATGGTTCTGAAAATGCCAAGTAAAGTAAATCTTCCAGTCCATGGTCCATGCTGTCCAGTTAGGAAGCTGCAAGGTCTTTACATCTTCACTAAGTGAGGCAGTAAGTTCTTTCTCATTTGTGCCTAGGGACATAGGTTAAATAAAACTTGCCGAGTGTTGGCAGAGCTGATTCTCCACAGCCTTGCCTACCAGGTCAGTGTTTTTTTTTTTTTTTTTTCAGTTTATTTATTTATTTATTTATTTATTTATTTATTTATTTATTTATTTATTTATTTATTTATTTATTTATTTATTTATTTATTTATTTATTTATTTATTTATTTATTTATTTATTTATTTATTTATTTATTTATTTAAACTTTTACAAAAACTTTATTGAGAATTTCATACGTGCCCATTCCCTCCCCTCCAACATTCCCCCCTCTGAAGAGGTAATCCTAAAATCTTTTAAGGATTAGATACAAGCTCCCAAATACTTTTGACATTTTTGGCCTTCTGAACAGAGTATGTTGTTAACAGGCCCAAGGACATTTTGACTTTTATCTAAGAAACTGGCTACATTTCTTTGGGGTCTTTTTACCCTAAATGCCTAGTCAGTTCCTACCTCCAATTCTTATCACACCATCCTCTGAAGGGGTTACCCAAATTGCCGATAGGAAATTGGGACACAGACCGCTCTGGCTTCTTCTATCCTGAACAGGGGGGGCACAGGGTGAGGCAATTGGATTACCCCTTCAGTGGGTCTATCTAAAAGACTCCCAAATTGCATAGAACTAGAAAAAAGTAGGAACAGGGCACTTTTCAAATGTTCATGTGAGAGTCCATTGGAGTTTCTTGACAGGGGCT